AAACAACGGTCAAAGTGTTGTTTGGCAATTAAGTGTAGCATACCATCTGCCTTGTGAAAGTTCGAAACAACAATCGCGAACGGCAGCGCTTATCTCTTATTTTTATATTTCTCTAAATAAAAAAAATATATATTTTATAGAAACAAGTTTTTTAACCCTTTTTTTGACGCTGGGAAATTAGCGCTAAGGGAAGCAGGTTTCGCTTCCTAGCGCGGAATCAGGGGGTTAAATAGACCCTTTGGACCCACCACAGAATAGAGCTAGCCAAATAGCAGGGGCATACCCACTAAAACCCAGCGATGTCCCTCAATGGAGGCGATGCACAGGGACAGCATGAGGACCACTTCCCGCTTCGTTCGCTCCTATTTCGGTCCATCCCTTGCGGGGTGGGTCACTCTGCACATTGGGGATACATCTCAGACACATTTGAGATATTCCCCTCAGGACAGGGGCGTGCAATACCCGGCTAGCGCTGAACCCCCGAATAATTAATTTAACATCTACTTAATAATCAAGTAGAATTCGTCGAGAATTAACATACTTAAATAATTTATTTACAATAAAACTGATTATTATAGTTTGAAAAGACTTGTTGCTCATATAACCTTGTCTATTCTTGACGCACTAATCAAGTAGATTTTAAATAAATTAGAATAATATTGATTTAAATTAATTAGATATAATAAGAGTAAAAGCTACTATTATATCAACATCATTGTAATAATGTGAAAATATTGAAAAAGCATAACTCTTTTAACAAAGAAAATCTTTTCTTGAAAACACAAATGTTTAAGTAAGAGAAATACTCTTTTATTAAAATGTTCTATAGCTTGAAGGTAACCGCGATGACATGACTTTGTATACAATTAAAATCTTGTTAGTACTGGTGCGTTCATACACAACATCCATTCAAACAGCGAAGACCAAAAACTAATTTTAAGTGAAGCGTTCCTACGCATGTGTATCTTTAGTGCTGATATAAGCGTCGATAATAATTTATCGATATATATTACTTAAAGACAGGGTGTATGTTATGTAGAATACTAAAATATAGTAGAATAAATTTAATATCCATATAATATCCGGCGAGATACATACCACCATATTTTATCTCTCCAGTCGTGACTGAGGATTCACTAAGTAACACAAAAAAATTAATCATTCAATTTGATACAGTCGTTCGGAAGTTTTGCGTGTAGATACATTTTGACCATTCATTTTAATTTATAGATTAGACAACACATACATTGTTTAGATTATGAATAAAATCCTTTCTAATTTAGAAATCTGAAATCACAATATACAAAATATAATAAATAATTTCGCAAAATTTAAATAAATAAAGTCTAGGCAATAGACTTTGTAATAACAAGCACTTGCGAAATTCGAAAACCTATGCAATCGAGTCGCAGATCTATGTCGAGGAATAAAAAAAAACACGTATTCGTCAAACGATTAACATGCCGTGTTATACTCATGCATAAATTTATATACAATGGGCATATTACAATAACATAAAGGAAAGTAACCTAAAGAAAATTCATCTCCACTATAATAGTCAGCAAGAGCCAGCTGACGTCTCGCTCAATCATATTTCAGAAAATGTAATGATCTGAGTCACGCGTAACTATCACAGAAGAAAATCTATTCGTCCATTAAAAAGAAATTATATAATTTCATCGACACTTATATTTGTACATTAAACCCAACTTTTAAAAATAATTAAGTTAATAAAGTTAATATATATAACAATGATATGCATTAATTTGTTAATTTTGTATATTATAACGAATATATCGATAAAACTATATATTTGGTGGACTGCACTTATGGGATCGCAAAACGTCCTCAGAGATTAAGCGGAGCTTAGTGTACGTTAACATTCTAATACCCGAATACTGCTATTACACATCGCCAGAGAAAGCGACGAGACAATTCAAATACAAATTTCATTCCTGAAAAGTTTGCCTTGGAACAAGTATGAAAAGCAATAATATGTGTAATACTAGTTTACGAATTTGTGATTTTTTAAAGAATTTGATTTATCTGTATTTTTCTACTTTCTAGGATATTTAAATGGTAAAAAAGGGACCGCATTACTATCTGACTCCGCTGTCCAATTGTCTGCCACCAGGATCTATCTCATGAATCGTGATAGCTAGACAGAGAAAAATTGCACAGATGATCTATTTCTGTTGCTGCTATAGCAATGAATACTAAAAACATGAAACATGATTATATTAACTTATATTCATGTTTGTTGTATTGTGTTTTTTAAAGATTGTACGAATTTTTTTAATAGTACGAAACCCTACGTGCCCGAATATGACTTACACTTTGCTTTAACTATACAACTATATCCACTTTTGGGGCATAAGCCTTACCAATAGATGGAATCTAATAGGGAGATGGGCTATAGTCCACCATGGAGTCATAAGTGTAAGTTGGTGTGTATTATCGACGGTAAATACAGTCAAAACCAACGCCTAAAAGTGCCTTCTAAAGCATGGATGAGCTTGAGACTATAGAATTTTGCTCAACTATCCGATTAACGAGCTCCACTGAGCCAACGACCTTCTTTTACAAAATCAAGAATAAATCTATATAATCGTAATTTTGATTGCTAGCATAAAATTTACTGTTTCAAGGCAGACAGTATTATTATAATAATTGATAATGCCGTCTGCTTGATAACATTTTATTAGTCATTAAAACACCAATAATGTCTCCGGCAGCCATGGAGCCGTCCGTGAATAAACATTTACGTTTCACCGTGGCTCCACCATTTAAATTGTTGCCAAAACGATTCGCACCAAAAGCGGTATTCGGCATTACGCTAGCTCGAAATGCGTCACGGTACGCCGAGCAGAAGCAAAACGGAATTTATTTATATTCGGAAATTAATTTCCTTTCCCTTAATAGAGTCAAGACTTCCTCTCGTTTTTTGGAAAAATGACCGTCTCCATGTTGAATTTCTCCGTCCTTTGTACGTCACTTCAACCGCGAAAGGAGAAATTAAATCATCTGTAGGCTTTGCGTGTCGTTTCCAACAGTATTATGCCGTTTTTTTTTATTGAATGAATTTTTGCTTAGGATTTTGAATGTCTATGACCTCTCCTTGCGTATTTCGTACTTGAGATAATTAAGGCCGATTGTAAATAAAATGTCGTAAATTTACATTTGCTAAATACGTTAAATACCAATTTTCTAATTATGTACTTTACACATATTTTTATATAAGGTATTTTAGCTATTTATTTATTTATCAAAAGAAACAAACAGCTGTTAATATTACACATGAATGAGGAAGTTAAATAGGTTATTCATTAGCCAAAAAAACAGTTTCCAACGCTAAATTATACAAACGTGACAATATATATTGGCAAAAGTTGGTCGAGTGATGACAAACAAAAACGATTTACTTTCCATTTGCTTCTCGCCACTGGCCTTGCTACCTAGCCGGGTTGACGCGATGGCCTGGACCAGACGAACGTAACGTTTATTTATCTTTGTTTTTACACTGCGCCGCTTGCCAGGCCTCCCTTTAGTACGAAACTGTTGTATTTGACCGTATTACACAGTACAAACGAACACGTTTAGACTGGGTCAATAAGCCGAATTTTCAACGAAACTATGTACTGTCGGTGAGAACAAGTTTGGACATATAACGTAATGAATGGACTTTTGGATGTGAAATTAGAAAATAAAAAAAGTATAAAATCGTTGTCCTGTGAACACTCAAATGAATGGGGTTTATTATGGGAATCTCAATATAAATATATATTTATAATTAGCGTTACAGTTATTTAACGAAATAAAAGAATATATTTCTGCGTAATCATGTGCATGCGAGTTTGGGACGCTCGTAGTCAGCTTTTATTTTATTTCAAATAATAATTTCGCAGTCGCAGATTTTCACCTTGGTGCAAGTTATTTATAAGGTAGACTTTATGTGTGTAATTTACTTACGTAACTAAGTAATTTACTGTAAGTAAGCTGGATATGATGTTGGAAAAATCGTGCCTACTGAAAATTTTCCACATATTCCCATTTTCTACAGCTCAAATGGCTCTTAAATAATAGGGAAAAACGATGTACGAAAATTAGAAAAAAAACTTATATAGAATCCGGACGGGTTCCTTAAAATTAACCAAATAAATATTTTTAACCGATGATAATTTAACGCACCCGTTAAAGTTAATGTATATTTCTTTTTAGAAATAAATTCGTATACCTTAAAAACGTTTTTGCCTCGAAACGTTTTGGCTACAATTCGAAGGCGAATCGTAAATGCTTATTTGGCGACGATTTCGCAGCCTGGGGGAGTCGTTATAAGTCCATAATGGCCGATAAAACGTCGCCACTTACTCTTGTCAGTGAACGACGTACCTGATGGGAACACATGAATGGTGAAATATGTGAATTTAAGGAAATTTATACCTAATCTATTTAATACTAGAAAATATATATTGGAAACAAAACATATGTATACAAATAATGTAATTTTTTAAAATAAAATATGTCCCCACTTTATAATTAGGATACATCAATGCTATTGGGTTCTTATGTGGTAATGATACTTTTTATAAGATACTGCTACGAGTGCTCAATAGTAACATTGGATACTGAGTACTGGTATCGAATGAAAATACTGTTATCGACTCCGTAGATACCAGAGCATTATGATGTACCCACTCCAGTTATTGCTCAGATAATATAATAAAAAAGCCAACTAGGTGACATGAAAAACATGAAAAAATATGAGATATGGCATAGTAAAAGAAAAAATATCTTATAATAAGGCACAAACAAGTGTTTTTTTCTACATATAAATATATTTGGATTAAGGTAACCGACGGATTACAAGCCGTGTTTCCAGTAGGCTTACTAAAGACTTTGTTCTGAAGCAACCATAGAATTACAGAAAGTTTGTTTAATATGACTCGTAAATTATATTAAAAGAAGATTGTTTAATTAATAAGTGACTGTTTTTGTTACAGATCCCCCAGTCGTGTCACTTTCTTTAGGTAGTACGCTTAATCCTCACGATATCAAGGAAGGCGATGACGTATACTTCGAGTGTTCAGTGCGCGCTAACCCTAGGGAGCATCGCATTTCCTGGTACCATAACGTGAGTTTACCTTAACATAGTTTATTGCAAAGGTAACTAAAATATACACACATACTGCTCACTAATTCTCTACTCGAATTTCCAAATGTTTTAAATTAAATAGTCAAGTTTTTAGTTATTCTTTTTACATAATTGTGTTAGATGGCCAAGTGATATAACCTAATTCGTAGCGTAACAACAAGGTAGACATGAAATTAAAGCCTTACATTTTCCGAAGTTTATTCTTTGACATATTGGTGTACCTTATAGTAAAAGCTCCTCTAACTGCTTATGAATCTTTAATCTCGCTCTAATATCATTTAAATTCCTTCTTCTTTTTTTTCGATTTGTAACTTATACTTCTAGAGCCACTAATTTAGCACACACTCATCTTTTTCCAGCTCTGTTTACACCAAACTATGTTATTTCTGGCTGATATAATAGCAACGTTGCAATAATATTACCGCATGTTTTATAACTACAGTCGCAATTCAGTCGCCAAACTAAGTTTAAGAAAAATGAGGTAGAAAAATTGGGTATCCCCATTTGATTATAATTGACCACCAAAAGATTACCTTACAAGTAAGAAGCTAAGTTACTAGGCAAGAAACTTACATATTTTTGCTTCATACCACAAGGCATCCTTGCCTTGGCAACCTAATACGAAATGACGCCCGGTTTCACTAACCAAGAACAAGGCATAGCTTCACTAGTAATCACTTAATATTAAGAATAGCTTAAGCAGATTTTTCGTTTCACCTAACCTGTAACGTTAGGTAATGCCGTAATAAACACTTGCTTAGGTAGGCAACGTTTGTCTATGATGCATGCATCAGTTCGTCTTCTTTTTTTTTAAATGTATGACTTCATCAATTTCACGTTAGTGGCCTTTACACGTAGAGAGATAATAACAACAATTGAAATTTGAGGTACTAAACGAAGAAAAATAAAACGTCCATAATAAAAACTCCAACTCCTTGTTTCCAACTTACTAAACTGATTTTATTCCATAATGGATCTGTATTATGGCCAAAGAGTAAATGTATATGTATATACGCAAATGCCCAGCCTTAAACACCGCGCACTGCATGTCGTAACTTTAAGCGTTGCCCAAAGTCGTTAGTTGTCTCCTTGTCATTAGTGAAACACATTTTCACCTTTGACAATACACAAATATTTAGGTATCAGATTTGGGTGACTACTAAGTGAAAACGGGCATCAATTCACGATGTATGAAATATACATGATAAAAAAACAGATCTAAAAAACAGCATATGTATCATAATACTGTAAAAAAAATTATAATGATGATATGAGTTTTTTAAGAAAACTGTACCCTTATATTTTAAAATCTTTCCAAAATATTTAGTTAACTTTAAATAGAAACGCATCCTCCATTCGCAAGGTTTATTTTACTAGGTTATCCGCAGACAACAACTGAAAATCCCAGCTTAGCTTTTGTGCTTTTGCATATTTAACCTTACCAAAATACTCTGCAAGTAACATAAATGGCTTAAGAACGATTATGTACTGTATGTTATTAACTATTAGAGTTTGATACAAAAATAATAATAATATTAGAGACTGAGAAACTCAATGCTTTGTACTTTCCGTGTTCGGTCTGCAACTGAGGAAATTGAGCAACTTTTGCAAAACCTTTTCTTCAGATTGGTGACCAAAAAGTATTATCTCGAGCCCCTACGTGCTTTGGTTAACAATCGAAAACGGTCTTGTACCGCGTTACTACGCATCATCTATTGATTATTCGTATCTATATAAGACTAACTGTTTTCCCACAACATTGCCCGCATAAATTGTAACCTTATTAATTGTAACCTTTGTTACCCGCGATAATGTACCTTCCCGTAAATTAAACATTTTTTTATCAGTCGAGTTTTAAGGAGTACTTACGGGATGAACAAACAAACAATCAAATCTTTCCTCTTCATAATATTAGTAAAAATATCGATACCGATTAATAACTCACTAAGGTCAATATACTCGTATAAAATTTTCGATTATAATAATATCCGTTATAATATGTTAATCAAAATCACTTTCGACTTTAAATAAACTATACTTAAATTTAAAAATTATTTCCTCTAAAACGTCGATTACGCCCTTTTGCACTCCAAGATGCCGATAAGCAATATGAGTATAGTACTGCAGCATTGCTCTTACCATCGCTACGTGATCTAAAGCGAGTGACAACCCTCGGGAACGCCGCGTCTCTTGGTATAGGACGCGAGTTGAATTTACGATGCTCAGCCAGATTATTATTTAATCAACCATTATTGGCTTACGGCAAATATTGCCACTACAGCATAAACGAGTAGGAAGCGCTAAAAGCTTAATTTAATATTTTCTTAAAATTCTTATCATGAATACGCAAAAATAGAAGCGATATTTTTTAAATATTTTGTACCTATTGTTGCTATTTATGAGAGGTTGGTTTCTCTTTTAAAATAATATATATAGCGTTTTACGTATGTCTTATCTTTGTTTGTATAGCTCTATTATGATATGAAATTTATTCATGTACGCACAAGCACAAATGTGATTGAATCATCGCCATCTTCCATTCGTTTCATTCTACATATAAAAATTAATTTATTCACTTGACATTGACAGAATTGTGCGAAATGCGCAAATAAACCATTAATAAATGAAGAAGAAGCACAAACTTCAACCTTCAATTCTCTTGGCGTACGCAACATAAAAACTGTCATAAAGTAACAAACCCAATGTTCTCAGTTTCTCAGTTTGCTTAAATATCTTCAAAACTATATAAAAAGGTTATGATTTTCATTTTATATGTCGCATAATATATAGGTAGTATGTTTAAGCTTTCTTACTTTAAATTCACTCTCAAAAGAAGCCACCGTATTTCAAGTTTGCTTAAATATGTTACTTATAAAGCCTTCTTTGGGCCATTGACTTAAAAAGATTAACTGAATTACAATTCAATTGGGAATTTTAAAAAAAGGATTTTCAGAAAAAATCTATCGATAGACCGTCTGAGAGACAACTAAATGATTCTGTAAGGGTTTCGCTTTAAACTGATGTATTCATGTAATTGAACAATATAATTTATTTTATTCTCTATTTTATCAACTAATAAAATGTATGCAAGATAAAGCAAATAAGAAAAAAGAGTCCACGAAATAGTATGTTGAATTTCAGAGAATGTACAAACAAAACCAGTTTCTATATTTTATCCTTATATAAACCTTAACCTCAGATATTAGCAATTCATATAATTACAGTACTCAGCATCTTTCTTTAAAATCCCAATTATCGTAATACATTTGTGTTAATATAAAACACTGCATACTTATAATGAGTTTCGTATTTTCCCGTGGGTACAAATGTGAACCACATTTCCTGTAAACATCAAAGGTCGAAATAACGAATATATTAGATTAACATACGTTATTGAACGATATTACCTCAAAATGATGTACAATGCTTTCTTTAACACCGTGTGCAAGCTTATAAAAACCAAATAAAGGTCAGGACAGTATATAAATAATCACGAAGTGCTTGAAATGAACCTCAATGCCAGAGAATAATTATTACGAAAAGAATGAGAAAATATATAATTTCGTTTTTTTTTTTTGTTTATTGAACTTAGCCCTTCCAGATACTAGTACTCATTGAATTCGATTTAAGACTTTACACATTGCATAAACATTTACAGTTTTGACATATCACAAAATAGGAATGGGGCTAAAGGTACTACAATATCGAGATACTACTATATTGGTTACTACGATATCCGATTCTTAAAAGTTATCGAGATCATTTTTTTTTTATATTTATTAATCAAATATAGTAATATTACAAAATGTTTAGAAGGTAGTTATAATCATAGATAATTTAGACTGAATAAATTATTATGATTTGATTTGAATACATGATTATATGTAAAAAAATACGGTAACACATCTGTGTGAAAACGATTGAGGGTCGGGGTGTCGCTCCGTCTGCGAGCCCAGCAGGCCCGTCGCATTGCTACATAACTACATTAGTTTCAAGTAAAATGCTTTTAAGCTTAAATACTATACACTTGGTAGTAGCCGCGGCCCGCGGACTTTGTTGCTAAGTATCTTTCGCCTACGGGATTCGGAATCGTCTATCACAGGATGGCTGACCAAAAAATGATTGTCTCGAGCTACGCCGTGCTTTGGAAGGTACATTAAGCCGTTGGACTCGGCTGCATTTGCAGTCGTTAATACTCTACAATCCATATTGGAACAGCGTGGAGGCTTGTAGCTCATTAACAAGGTCTCAAGGAGTTATTTTATTGGGCATTATAGTTTGAGTTGATTGCCTGAAAACCAAACTAAATATTAGCCTAAAAAGCAAGATAATTAAGGCAAGGTCTAGGATTATTGACGAAAGCTTTGCTTTAAATAAGTGAAAAAAGGTGTCACTTATTGTTTTTTTGCTATTGCTGTCTGTCTCTTGTAACTTGTGAGTTTTTACACATTTTTTAAATTATATCTTTTTCTTGCTAATCACTCTCCAAGTATCGATAACAAGGACATTCGCCCAATTAAAAAACCTTACCAAAGAACCGTTACTAAAGGTGGGACATATTGTTGACTGTTGAAGTCTCATTGAATAAAATCTTATTTAAAATCTTTTAACGTATGTAAAAAATCTTACTTTTGGGGTAATTTCTTAGCTGGTTATAAATTTGAAACTAAAGCTGTTAGAAAAAACAGTATTATTTTTATAACCAAGACACTTAATTAAGCCAAAAATTCCCTGCAAAATTTTTGAGTGTTATCCTTGATAAATTGTCCATGTGATAAAGAAATCCTATATGCGAGTCAATTCTTTATCTAGTCGCTTTTTAATGCTTCTTTTTGTACATCTTGTTATACGCTATGAAACTCAAGCAATATTTACTTCTAGTTTTAGCATAAATTATATATAAAAATCGGTACGAATTTTTACTTTCATTTGAAAACAGTTTTAACAAGAGTCCCGCACAGTTACAGAAAAATATGATCATAATAGTCTTTTCTCATATATCGTTACCTATCTGTACCTATAACCTGTTTGATATTTGTAAATTGTAATAACTATATCTGGAATCTTGTTAAGTACCGTAAGAACTGTACTTTAAAGTATAATATTTCTTACTAGGAAAAGCAAGTCGTCCACAACGTGGTATCAGGCGTTATTGTAAGTACCAAATCACTGGTGCTCCAAAGAGTGACAAGAGACCATGGAGGTGAATACTCGTGTCGAGCAACCAACGCATTGGGTGAAACAGCAAGCGAAACGACACATCTCAGTATACAATGTACGTATGATACTTAAATAAGTCCAGTATAGATTTAATAGATTTTTATTTTATTCCTTTAGACTGGCAACAGCTTATAACTAAATTGGCTTCGCCCGCGTGCTTCTGTTATATTATACATGTAAACCTCCTCTTGAATCATTATGTAAATTGATGAAAACCATTAAAATCCGTTGTGTTATTATATTGCATACACAATGCTGTACTGGGTTTCGAACTGAGGGTTCGAATCTCAGATATCCGTTGCGTTGTTTAAAATTTCTCAGAACAAAACAGACAGCTGGAAGCCAAAGAAGCTTTGTTTTTTACTTTTTCAGGTAACTCACATTTAAAGTAAACGATTAAAAATAGTTTATATTAAAAATTGAATATGTATGCAAAATTAAACAATACATACATGCATAATAATAAAATAAAATATTTGTATATAAATAGAAAATAGAAATGACGAGATCAATAACCTAAGATCTCTTCAAAACTGTAACTAGTTTTATAAAATGCATACTTGATAATTAATAAAATTTATATCTCCATTTATCAAGAATCTAAATAAGAACACACGCCATGTGAGTATAAATAATTACTTCAACAGATTAAAATTTGTAATAAGAAAGTTTAATACTTTATAATCCAGCATTTACTATTGTCCGAGCGTAGGTAATTCGAATGAGTAAATTAAATCACGGCCTAACTTATTATTCAAATGGAGGTTATTAGTGTAATAAAACCGCATTGCACAAGTCAACTGTTACTAGTTTAATTTCCGGATACAATAAGGGAAAGCCCTTGCCCACCCATAAGACTTCAAATAAAGCATACAATTTTTAAGAAAGCATTTCGATCAAAACCGTCTTAAAAAAAAAATCATATAAACGCGCGCCCTCCAGAACAAGAAACCATTTTACATTACCAAATCAGCGTCCAACAGGAATCAGGTAGATTACAAAGGATAAAAATAAAATACCTCAGTAAGTAAATTTGTTGCCCAGATTACTTCTCCGATCCGAATTGGGGGTCTCTTTTGTCCCTCTATCATCAACAAAGCGCTAATAAATTTAATTTCATCTCGTCGAGTCCTTTTCGCCAATCCGTATTCTACATCAATCATTCCTGAAGAGATCTTTACAAAGATTTGTTATAGTCAACGGGGTAAGACAGCCAGATGTATTGAGCGATTCTCATTCTATGCTGAACCAAGCAATAAATCACGAGACTGTTGAATAGAAGACCTTATACGTGGAAACATAAGAGTTATAAGTGATAAAGTTATCTTGACTTTTCATAACAAGACTTAGCTATTTGCTTTAAGCCTACGAATTGTGTTTGTTGGTATAAACGTACTCATAGTATTCATTAATTTTAAATGCTTTATATGAAAAATGAAACGAGACGCAATTTGACATTATTATAAGATACTTCAAAATTGTTTTCCTAAACCTAAACTTTATAGTAAGTGATCTAAATCCAAAATTTTCGTAGTTTCTATTCCTCTTTTTTAAATCTGCTTACTTAGCTATGAAAATTAATTATTTCCTTCCACATTTATTACCAAATCCATTCTATACTTTCAAAATTGAACAAAACCTTCGAACAAAAAACTAATTTCGCTCGCGTGTAACAAATATGCACATTCTCCAAATATTTACGTTACGCAAAGTTTTGTTAACAAGAACTCGCAACTCTGAACTCAATTTCGCTACTTAATTTTTTACCCTAAATATCAGTTGTCGGATATACCGTGACAAATAATACTTTAACTTTCAACACCATGCGTCAAAACTCCTACGTAACGTTTGAAACATCAATCAATATCAGAACATAAACTATATTATCCTAAGGGATTAATTGACTAGTAACATTGATCAATACATCAAGAGCAGTATCGTGGAGAGTAAATTTCGGCAAGTCTTCGAAGTCACCGGGAAGGCATCAATCATTCAGAAAGAGGCTGGATTTACGCCAGTGAGTTTCCGCGACGGAACGGCGACAAATATACACGATGTCCCCTCCCTATTTGTTACCTCAACTCGTTTGTTTCACTTTGTACCATTCGCTACCGACAGTTTGTTCGCCTTATTGATCTCTCCCTCGGCTACAAATCTAAGGCAAAGAATGTTGTTCTCCGCATGTGCCACACGATCACTTACATCAATCAACATACATATTTTCATATTCTTGCCGCTGTAATCCCTTCTTGGAATGGGCGCTTAACGCGAACAAATATTTGAAGGTTTAATGAAAATCTAAGGCTGCCGGAGCGCAGTTTTATAAGTAGATACCTAAATGAATCACGGCTCCCGGCTGCGACGCCAAGGGGAACAGTTGGACGATAAAATTTATATATCGTGTAACTTCTGTTATGATTTAACGAACTGAATTTGGGTCTCTTTCTGCTCTTTGTGTTAATTACTGCATTCTTCCCTTTGTTGAGATTCGTGATGTTGAGTAACAGAATCAACTTCGTTAGATTAGTTTAATTCAGTGCGATGCGTAAAATTATAGAAATATTTAAATGAAAATGTTATTTTTGAAATTGAGACCTTCTATAGCTAAAACAAATAAAGTGTTATTTTTTCCTTTTATAATTATTTCCTTTAATATATTATTACTCCCAAACACACTTTCTATATTAACTTATTTTTTATGTTATGGTTTAATTTGTATTGGTTATTTATTTACTACGGCTTATAAATATTTATCCAAACTTATGACCAAAAACGCAGGTTCGGATACGACTTGAAGCTGTGTTTTCAACACTAAATTATTAAATTTTAATGTATAGTACTGTATTTTAAATTTTTTACTATTTATTAGATATAATTCATTGCGTTCGGTTTTAATGTTTTGATTTTAAAAATACATATATCTCTAAAAGTGTTTGCTTTGGCTACTGCGGCGCACAACAGTTATTAAGCGTATTAAATTATTGTGCTAATTAATCGATAATGAAAGAACCCATATATTCCTGTGCATAAATCATATAAGATTAAAAATAAAAATATTTATTCGTTAATTAAAATGAAACGTATACATGTCACAGAATATCTATTATGTTCAGATGCGCCAGTTTGTACTCACTCCTCGACACAAGTGCTTGGCGCGCAGATCGAAGAGGCATTACGTGTGAGATGCTCTGTGACTGCGAATCCACCTGATGTCACATTCTTCTGGCAATTCAACAATAGTGGAGAAAGCCTTGACGTTTCTCCGGCAAAATTTGGTAAGTTTATTAATAACTCTATCGGTACATTATTTTGCCAATGATGAACACTAAATGCAGAACATACCAGAATTATAACCGTTGTAACCTGCAAGTGTATCTAAACTTATAAAATATTTAAGAGATAGTACGAAGATGGTGGCAATTCTGCAGACACAAACCATAAACTTACTCAAAATTAAATTTTAAATCTACCTGCAGATGAAGAGGCTGCAGCGGAATTGATCCCATTGCTTTAATACTGCTTGTCAATTAGTGAAGATAGTAAATATGCCATATCAGACAAATCTCAGCTTTTTTTGGTGCACATATAATTGTCTATAACGAGAGTCAAATACTACTTTCTAATTCAATAACAAAAATGAGACTTCCTGAAACTTTTTTTTTGGACTCGTTTATAATCCATATATCATTCCCCTTTAGGTACTGCGAATGGCAGCACAAGTGAATTGAGCTACAAACCACAGAGTGAACGCGACTATGGAACGTTAAGCTGCCGCGGCACCAATTCGGTGGGCAGGCAGCTAGAACCATGCGTGTTCCAAATTGTACCGGCGGGTAAGTAAATATATTATTTTGAAAGTATCAGAATATTAATTTGATCTACATACTACTACAATTAATAAACTAGACTTTAATATTTTAAGTGTAAACAATTGCAATGTAAGAAAAAAAACACGGCATTTATTACTATACTAACCTTAAGAATAATTATATTCACTAAATAATTGCATGTTTACTTTTGCTATTTCAAGATTTACAAATGGGTTTAAAATGGTGATTTTTAAATATTGATCAGTCATCTGATTAAATAGGCAGTAATGCTAAAGGTGCAGGTTCTTTGCATAGTATTGAGAATATAAAGTTAGAGATAAGAAATGTTATACGCGTCGAACTAGGTGAACTACTGAGATAGGGATTTAATTCCTCGAATATGAAGTTAGAAGATATTGGCGAGTTGATGAATTTTATAAGCAAACAATATGATAACATGAAAGAATCTTTGGCTATTAATCAGGACAAAATAAAATCTCTGATAATGGAAAAGGAAGTTCTACAGAAAACTGTTTTGCATTTAACAACAAGAGTAAGATTATGGATTAGTATCTACGTAAAACAAACATAGAAATAAATGGAGTACCAGAAAATAAAAATGAGTCTGTACCATAAACACATGTATGTACTCAACTAATATTTTGTAAATGGAAATAGACATAGATTGTGCAATACATTGTTTGAGTCCCTAAATAAATACTAGGTATGATGAAGGTAAACAAAGAATTTTCAAGACAAACAGTGAACAATTTTATATAATAAAAACTATGATGAAAGGAATTTAATAACAATTTACTGGTATTTTTTTTTAAATTATTTTTAATTTAGAAAATAAATAAAGTAGATTGAAATGCAGTTTTCTTAATTACAATTTGGTTGCACTTCATTTCGATCTAGGCGCTATTTAAAAATGCATGAATTTTGTTAGCTTGTCTAATTCGTTTCTGCTGTTGTTTAATCGACTTTCAATAAAGTTCTTTCTTTTGGAAGAACTTTGTTATTCATAGTTGTACAAGAAAATATAAAAAATAAATGAGCATTAGGCAGTATAAATAGGTAGGTGCAAAGAGATACATAAATACACAAAGGTCACTCAAATTATAAAATATTTTTCAAGTTAACATAAAAGCAATCTGATCCAAATAGCGTGAATGACAAAAAAAAAACTAAATCTGTACTACAATTATTACTAAAACTAGAATGTTTGGCACGCTAATACAACATCAAACAGTATTTAAGTGCACGTTTTAAAAATAGTCACTCTGCAAATAAATTTTACCAAAATTAATCACAATACAATACCAAATAGAGTATTTAGGCTGTTCTTATTTAATAGAATCAGACGTTATTTTGTAAAAGTCTGTTGCTATAAGTGTGGAACTACGACATCTTACAACTTCCACACCAAGTCTATCTATAAGACCTGATTTGCGCTGTCCTCATACAAAGTCACCTACACAAGCAGCAACAAATCCCACTACCTACACTCTTACTCCCTACACGTGTTTCATCCCTCCACAGAGCATCCTCTGGAGTTGTTATCGTCATCCTCATCATCAGTCCATAGATCAGCATGGATGATTAAAGAGGATGGGCCATGGCCCTCCACGCTGGCCAAATGCGGATTAACGAGAGCAAATGCAGCCAGGATCAACGGCTAGCTTAATATTTTTTTTTTTATGTTATCTGTCCCATGATCGACCATATCGAAAATTGCTAAGCAATAACAATCGCAGGCCGCGGAATATCCACAAGGCCACAGCGTTTCTTTGAATTTGTCAGTTGTTTGGCAATATTAGGTCTAATACACAAGGTTGCGAGATTTGTAGCTGCTTGTGTAGTTTTCCGGTGCACAGCAGATCCTGCATATACTAAGAATAAAAGTCATCATAGATATCACAAATACATTATAAATGAAGTAGCGGGCATGCTTTACTGATTCCATTAGGAAACTAACAGAATATAACAGAAAGCAGAGTGCATGGATAACTTTCGAAATCAAATCCTAAAAGCATAACACCTGCACGCCAGTGGCGGACTAAGGGGGGTGACGTGGGAGTCGTATGTACTCGTCCTGGGGGCCTCCACATTGCTGAAAGTTTCCTTAATCAAATCGTAAATTGTAGTTGAAGGCCCCGCAGATAAATAGGTACAGCCTGTGGAGGTAGTTTACATTTTTTTTTATTAGAATTAATTTTATTGTCTTATCGTTCTAATATCCAGTTTCGTAGTTTTTTTACTTTCATTAATTTTTAAATACTATAGTCATCTATTTTGTGTACGCGTAACTAATATTCTTTTATGTTGATTTTTTCACTGGGGGGGAGATAAACATAATATCAACTTCTACCGCGGTTGGCAAAAGTTGTAGATCCGAGCCTGATGCCGCTCCAGGCCTCTGATAAGGTTAGTCCGCCACTGATACACATTGAAATTTTGCACGTATGTATATTTCAACAATCAACAACGGGGTGTGACGATTTACTGTAGAGGGAAGTTTTATAATTTCAGCCTGAGGTGAGGACAAGTGTTTTGTATATGATGTAGTTTTCTATTGTCCAATTACAAATTAAACTTTATTTAAACTTTATTTTATTAACAAAAGTTTGTTTTCGTATTCCCGAAAGTGACAGAGTTTTACATAATTTAAATTGTATGAACCTTCACCATTTCCTTTATATTTTTTAAACAAAGCTCTAACAAATATTTTACAAATTGATATGATACATTAATTATTATTAGATAAGATGAAATAGTCAAGTTCCTGAGACATGTTTCTATAATAATACCGCCAACCAAATAAATGAAATTTAATAATAATTCATATTATTTAATAACTATAGTTATTGATTAAAATAATTTAATTAAATCAAACTATCGAAACCACAATTCACGCAGATGCACTGCTAATATATAGATATCTTCTTCGGTTATATAGTCGTCAGTTTCCCTTATCATGTGTGAAACCGATGTGTGATTGTCTACAAACCAATTGGTTTGTAAGTTTAATGAAACTTATATTATCCGAAGTACATATACAACATCACTAATCTAAATTACTATGAAATAGAGCATAGAAAAAAGTATACCCATAAAATAAGATTGAACTCTCATAATATAACTGTGTATATTTGCAAGTAGAAATATGAGTTTTCTGTGGCGAGGTGCAACGAAATACGTCCCAACCCGCAACGTTTAATATCCAAGCAGTTTGTTATAACATATAACGTATTAAATTGTCGCCCGCCAGCCATAAGTCAAGGGGGAAATTAGTGAATTTAGCGCTGCACTCAATTCTAATTCTCACTCACGCTAGCGACGCAATGCCTTCTGTGGTAGCACGGTTGATTTAAATTCGAGTTAGGCATAAACAACAAACCCTGTTTTCATCAATACATTTACGTAGCTACAATGAAATTCTGAATTAAGATCAAATTCAAAGACGATTCGAATAATATGAAACAAAATGACAATTTTGTACTTGCACTTAAACTTGTTTACATGCGTATCATATCGAATCTTAATGTCATGGTGTAAGTAATGGCAAAAAGTACAGGAGTGGTTTTCTCTAAAACGATTTCGATAAATCCGGATCGTCACGACAGTGGCTTGACAATGTCAGAAGAAACCTACTCTTGTTTATCGGATGCATAGATAAATGTTCGTTAGCTCTTTAAAGGCAAGAACCAAAATATGGAGTGAGTTGTGACCATAGATTTATTAAAAGTGTCCGAATAACATTTTCTAGTAAATTGTATTTTATTAGTTGGAAAAAAGTGAAAAATTGTGTTAGAACAGCTCAAACTTCCTTTTAAAGAATTTTGTGAATAAATTCGCAAAAATTTAAAGAAGTCATTATTTTGACTACTATTTAACTTTGAACGATATCACGAAGATCTAACAATGGACTCATTATGTACCTAGTATATTCAAATGGAAGTCCAAAGTTCAGCAGAAGTGTTGATTGATTCAAAGGTAATCAAATGTTTATAGTACCGTTTGCTAATTCATAAAGTAATCATGCAATTTGCTCACTTTAAATGTATCTATCTACATTACTTTTCTTATACAATTTAATTATTACCAAACTATGTCATTTTTCAGACATATTCATTATTATGGCAGAAATATTTTTCATAGTTTAATTTCACAATTCATGACAATACTCTATTTTTCTGTGCTTAAATTATTTTTCACTGATGTAAGTTAAAACTATATTACGCGTAAAACGTGGACTTTTTCTTGTTATTGTGTAGAATGAATTCCTATTGAACGACGGTAAATATTCCTAATTATAACAGAAACCAAAAATAAGCTATAAAAAAACTAAAATGATTTTTAGGACGATACTAAATATTATTTCGTTGTAATTGTCGAATTATGATGGTTTTTTTTTTCAATTCGTCGTCTGTCAAATTCAATTCATCGTTGCCATTTGGCAGTAGAGGTTACGATGTCTTATGTCAAAAGTTATATCATCATCATCATCAACCCTTTTACGTCCCCACTGTAGGGGCTCAGGCCTTCCTTATGGATGGTTAAGGAGGATGAGCCACGCCCCTCCACGCTGGCCCAATGCGAAATGCGAAAATGCGAAAAAACAATTGGAGGGTATTAACGACTGCAAATGCAACCAGGACCAACGGCTTAACGTGCCTTCCGAAGCACGGAGTACCTCGAGATAAAAATTTCTTGGTCACCCATCCCGTGACCGACCCTTGCGAAAGTTGCTTAACGACAACGATAGTGAGCCGCGGCGCTTATCCACTACGCCACCGAGCTAAAAGTTATATCGAGCTAAAAATGATATATAAAAATTATAACGTGCACCGTTGTAGCATATGAAACAACGAATCCACTGATATATCGAAAATCAGTGCAGAGAGTACCACTCCGAAGTCACGTCATTTTGTATAGAAATCCTATTGATTCCATTTTTTGTATAAAATTGATTTGATAAACTCAGATATTCTATTTCTATACAATTATTTAACTCACTTCACTTATGCTACGAAACGTTATCAATTTTAGCCCGTTATAACTTATCCCGCAAGGGATATATATAATAATTATCCATTTTTGTCTCTTTTGGGTTCCTCGGAATTGTGAACTCAGTTGGTGATTATTAGGCGTAAACTAGGTACGAGGTAGGTACTATTGGCACGAGGTTACAAAGAGGCCCACACGAAAGTCAATAAAAAATGTTGCCTACGCCCACCTATGAAAGTCATTGTAACAACTAAATTTGATTGCCATATCATAAAGTAGATAGTTTATTTATAACTAACACTCTGATTCTAGCCAATGCTATTTATGATCATTATTATTTCAACATTAATATTGTTGTTCTATTCATTCAAAGACAATATAAGCTTTCAAAGCATAGTTTCTGTTTGATAATGACAAGGGTCACGTTACGTCATTGCTCCACTGTTGTTTTTTCTAGCTATCTAAATTCTAGCTATAGCTAGAATTTTTAAATCAAAATATATTCTTAGACGATGCAAAGATTTTTTAAGGTGCTCATCCACTGCCGTCATCAGCATGCACGCACCGGCCGCACGACATGTAACGCATTGCACGGATTTGTTGATGTCATACGTCCACTGCAGTCGCATTTTTCAAAGATGCTTATATGAAAAATGCAACTATCGCGTGTCGTGCGACCGGTGCATGCGTGCTTACATATAGACACCTTTAATCAGGCTTATATATTTATAAATAATTAATACTTTGATTGGTTTACGCAGCACGACCCACGGCTCCACGCAACTGCTCATTGCACACTGGAAACAATAGCACGGAAATCACGAACTGGCTATTAGTTCGTTGCGTGGCGGGCTATGACGGCGGACTACCCCAATCCTTTGTGCTAGAAGCGCTGGATCCTATAACGGGAAAGACCCGTTTCACTAGCAACGCAAACGATACAGGTTCATATTTCTTATTATTATTAATTCAACTTTTACATAAAATACAAAATAACCTTTGTTAAATTTATGCCCTCTTTATCAGACTAGATCGTTTAATTCATGGTGTATAAATATTTCGCAAAAAGGGCTACTATTGGCTGCGGCCAAGAGCAGGCGATAATTGAAGGGTTTGAATCTCATCGTGTATACCTAATACCTCTTTATTAAGGGAATGTTGTATCATCATTAGCCTATTAATGTTGCCTTGTTGGACTAGTCTTTTTTTTAGATGAGGTAGAGATAAAATACTATAACACCCACTCTCGTTCCTTGAGATCATCGGACAACCCGAGACTCGCGATGCCTATGCATACCTCTAGAGTGTTTGACAGATCCTTTAATGTACACGCCGCTCGTCTGTGGAACGAGTTACCGGATGCTGCGAGGCGTGCTCAGTCTTTAAATGTTTTTAAAAACTTAGTTACAGAATACTATCTCTCACATGCTGTACATCCAAATAATATTTATTGTAGATACTAATATTAAATTTATGTAAGTTAAGTTTTTGTGCTTGTGTGTGTGTGTGTGTGTGCGTGTGCGTGTGTGTATGTGTGTGAATTAATTGCATTGTATATTCATATATATAAAGTATACTTTTGCTCAAATACACAACCCTAAATTGTTCTCAGTATCTAATTTCCTATTTGCGGTTGCCTGGAAGAGATCGCATTTAAGCGATAAGTCCGTGTGTTAGCAAGTAATAAGAATGACTAACGGCTAACGTTACTTACGAAGTACGAAGAAAAATAATAAGCTTATTAATCTTTGGTTACCAATCAAATGCCGGTCTTTGCAAAAGGTGCATAACTTCCGCAATCTCCAAATTAACGCATTAACTAGCATCTATCTCGAAAACATCAGACTGATTGGTGAATTATAAAAGTTTTTTGTGAAGATTGAAATAAAAAGTTTTACAATATCCAGATATAAGTAAAGGTCCCGGCCTTTTTACTCAAGAGAAACTAGTTGTCATCATTTTCGCCAATTAGGTCTTATATAACTTATTCTCGTCTGTACAGATGGGGTAGTAACCTTCAAGTTGGACCTCGTGCAGATGACATCAGTGAATGATGGAGAGTCCGGTACATTCAACTTGCTTATCTACGCTAAAAATTTAAAAGGAGAATCAGAAAAAACTTTACTAGAAAATATTGCCTTCAATGACGCCGCTAGAAGAACTGGTAAGTTACTCGTTGGTATAATGTACGTCGTATATATAATGTAAAAGTACGTACCTTGTGCAATAGAGAGACATTGAGTTATCTATAAATAAGAGAAAGTTTAGAAATAGTGTATTATCTATAACATATTTTCTATAACAACTTTGTCCGAAATTATTTAGTTTCATCTTCAGAAGAACTTAGAAATATATTAAAACTTTTATAAATATAAGCTACTTACCTTGATATGTTAATGTATTATCTTGTTTTGTTAGGAAAAATATTAATGAATAAAGTTCACATGGATCTTTTTTTATTAATAAAAGCTGTCTAATACTACGTTTATATTTAGCTCGCCACGCCCACCCCGCGTGGATTTGTTTCATATATTTAATGTAGGACTAATTAAATTAGCCCCGTCCCATGTATCAAGCAAATGTATGATAAAACAAAAAGTCGGGCTGTTAATATCAACAACCTCCTTTGAAATCGGTTTTATTTAAAAAAAAAACTATATTGTTTTAGTGATAATATTGAGTTTATATTTGTAATTGTTATAACGTTCGTTCGCTCAAACGCATCGAAAGAAAAACCATAAGAAATCAAAACACTCAATCTTTTATTTACTTTTAAAGTATATATTTCATCTATTTTTTTATTTTTTTATTTGGCAGAACGCATTCAATTATTTTGTTATGGAAAAACTACTAATCTGATTTTGATAAAATTCGGATGGTACTACCTGAAACCCTTCAAAGCTTTTGAATAAAAAAGAATTTTAAAAATCGATATACAATAAGCGGAATATCGATGAACATATAGAAAATAATCATATATACCCGTCTTACACAGAGCTACCGCCTTTATAAAACAATGTACCGCCTTTATAAACAGTGTCCAAACAAAGTGTCTATATATATATTTCAATTTCCTTTCCGGTGTAATAAAAATTCAGTTTCGAAAATTAATTCATAAGTTATCGTCTATTTGTAGTTTTTCGTGTTTCTAAATTAATTTTAATTCTGTCGAGCGCCAAATTTCAATAAATTACTATGCTACGTGTAAATATCCTTTTCAGTTAAAATACTTCTGTTTCAGCCTGTGGGTGAATGAATTCAAACTTTACGAAAACATTCAAAAAAATTAAATTATTACAAAACAAATATGAAAAAGTCCTGTATTTCAGTTTACAGCACAATGGATGAGAAATATCCGTCAAATCTATTGAAACTTCGTTTCCGTGTAGTCGTCACATCAATTTCAATAATTTTCAAAAATTTCGCCTTGGTGCGGCTATGGATGTGTGACATCACGTTACATCGCGCCGCCCTCGCAGTACTGAGTTACTTAAACATTGTACGGGTTTCTTGACGACAATAACAATAAGCTATTGTTATTGTCGTCAAGTCGTGTGCCATCCATGTGGTACTGCTTAAGCACAAGTATACTCAATGGATGAAACCAATCTGGGTAGATTGGTTTCATCCATACACGGTCCACGTGGTTGATCTACATCGCCCCAAGAAACTAAAAAAATAGTTTATCATCTATCCGATTACTGCCTTTGCGATCGTCGCTTAACCTCCGCAGTCGCAAATCAAAGGCGCTAACCAATACACCATCGAGCTTTTCACCTGTTGCTATAGAAAGGATATATTTAATATGGGATATATTGAATAATGTATCTAATATGATAATATTTTCACATTCAGTACCCATGCATGTGAGATTGCACAACTGATATCGCTTCTAGCGTGTAATTTCATGAGTATTACTTCATACATTCTACTCGATATTGAGCCATGAGTAAAGAGCTCAGGCTCAACATAATAAGTGTTATCCTTGTTTGTGAATTCGATATGTTAAATGATTTTTGACCAGACACAGATCATAACTACTCTAGAGCGTACTACTTGCGCGTTGAGCGAGTGTGACGTCACAGCAGCGAGAGGCGACATCGCGTCGTGCGCCTAACTTAAAAAATCTATGTCTTGAAAACTATACATTTCGATTTTAATGTTATTTTTTATCTTTAATAACGTAAAAATAAAAAATCAATGCCATTCCTGATTTTCACGGTATGTTATTCAAGTTGCATAGTGTTAATATACTAAGTAGTTGTCTTAGATCTTAAAACTGGAGATAATTTTATTGCAGTAATTTAATACTCTTTTTTAACACTCGGACTTTCAAAATGAGCGATTCGTCTAAGGCTTCCTTATACATATTACATTTTAACAAAAAAATCCTCCAGTGTCTAAATCACATTAAAGAAATTACCAGAAACAAAAGATAAATAAGAAACTAATTTGCAAACGGGGCTTCGTTAAGCGCAAACAAATAACCAGAAAGCGAAAAGAAAATTTAACTTTAATTACAGTATTTAGAAGATTTTGTTTATGTTGCAAAACTTCTAGACATGGCGTTACAAAGTTGAGACGTTGAAGTTTCTAACTGCTAATAATTATTTAGTAGATATTATACATTCAAACGTCCTACTTGTAATAATTAATGCAAAGATTAATATATAAAAATAGTTATAATTTACTCGCTCAATAATTGTTCTTATAGCAAATTATATTCATAAAACTTTCGCTTTATCTTTGAAAATGGAAACATCTAGCAAACTGTACAATTAACCTTGAATATGTAAAGAAAATCTCTACTAATTAAAGAGAAATTAGTGACTCGCCCAATAATAATATTTAATTTTAATTTATGAACTAAAATTAAAAATTATTACGTTATTTTCTGAAAAGTTTGAAAGTCATTTACAGTCTTCAAACCTCAGGTGTCTATGAGAGTGATAATTAGACATAAAATATACTAATTGTTTTCGCGCGACTTTGGCCGCGTTACATCAACCGTGTATAATGTAGTTTCCCATAGGTGAAAGAGTTCATGATCGGATCCGTAATGTTATCCACACATGTTTTTTTTTTCTGAAATCTGATATAATAAGAAGCTAATCTCTGAAAATATTCTTTATTAAAAATAAATTATCATGTTCTTAGCTGACAACATTTTGATTATGACTTTATGAAGTATAATAGTTCTATAAGTGCTGATGAATCAACAGTAGCTTTTATTAATATTTTTAACCGACATCGAAAGAAGGTTATCAATTCGAGATATATGTTTGTAACTTAGTTTCGAATGGCATGACATTCAGATATGTTGGAATATATGGGCTTCTCTAAACACGTGTCGTAAATTTTACAGATGTAGGTATATATGTCCACAGAAATATCACAAACTGTACGCGGAATTGCAATATTTTGAAAATATAAACTATTAATAATTAAGCTACTTATAAAAGGAGTAGAAATATAACAGACTTAAAGAGGAGTAAATTTTGTTGACCTTTTTGTTTGTCAACTTCAAAAAAGGAGGCTTTGAATTCACCTGTATATGTACGTCATTAACCAACTTCAACAAAAGAGACTATCAATTTGAACTGTACATTTTTAAACGACCTTAGAAGCGTTGAGTTCATCAATTTTATATGTATGTATATGATTTTATTGGAATACAGCACAATATTCATTTATGTTTGTTTATATGGATTTCTATACACGTCCGAGTATTTCTCGTAAATTATACATCAGATTGAAATTATTTTCTTTTTTTTTGTTTAATTAACTTTTCATCAACTTAGAGAACGGTATAAGAGAAAATTTACTAAATAACTTAAAGAGACGAACTGTAACCAGCTATATGTTAGGTCAGGTTAGGTTAGAACTGCGACACTAACAGAAAATATCTATCCAGTAAATATGAGTATGTTTAAATATATTTATTATAAGTTAAGAGTAATAATGATCTGACAACTTCGATTATTAAAAAAAGATAAGAATAAAAAAAAACAATTTTGAAAAAATTAAACCTACTTCAAAAATACTTAATAAATAGAAACAACTAAAAACAGAGAAATAATACCACAAAATTACAACAACAATTTCTTTGAGAAGTATGGGGATTCTTTGAATTAAATATGTGGTAGAAACTGGTTTTCATATAGTTGCTAGACCTCGCTAATATAATAACTCCCATGCTAAATATATGAAAAGAATCCTCGCAAGCCAGGGGAAAGCGTATATATGTATGCCTATAAATAGTTATGATCGGATAATGTAACGGGTGGACTGTACTGTATACAGCTGTCCTTTAATCAATTTTCATCTATTGATAATAATGTACTAAATGATAGAGGAAATCGCATATATTGAGAAATGTACTATATGTGTTGATAGATGTACCTCCCTCATATTTATATTCTTAATGTATTCATATCTGTAACAAACGACTTGTCATTTTGCTTTGATGTCAAAGCAACATGACAAAAACAATTGAAGCCTTTTCGGTTTTAACTTATTGTAAATGTATATATGATATCAAATTCTTTTATTGATTCTTATTCAGAATTTTATCTCTACTCACACAACTTCTATCTATATGACATCTAAAATGAAAATAAAACCCAATATATTATTTCTAAAGATATTATATTAATATTTTCGAACAAGTCAACCTCATTTTAACGTTGACAGGAAATAGGCTTTTGAACAAGACAATTGTAGAATACTGAAAAAATACATATTTGGATTGTACTCAATTTTCGTTATTAACCGCTACAAAAGATTTAAAGACTATTTAATAATTGTTTTCGAACGATAACCAAGATCTCAACTTACATAAGGAATGAGTTAATGAAAAAGATTTTCATTAACTCAAACTAAACGAAAACGTATTTTTACAATTTCCTGGAAAATGAACACACCTATGACGGGTTCTTAAAAAAAGAAAGATCAATCGAATAAAACCTACTTCAAAGGATAATAAAAGTTCAACAGAATAGGAAAGCTGATTCTGGTGGCACATTTCTGGTTTTCTTGAAAAACCCGTTTGTATGTGTAGTAGGTAAGCCTTATTTAAATAAGTAAATAAATTTTATAGATTTGTTTCCATTTCATCGTAACAGATAAAAGCGCAATAGGGGGCATGACTCTAGGAGTAGTAGTCGCAGCTGTATTGGGTTTACTGCTAGCTGCAGGTGGTATAGTGTTTGTAGCACTGTGCGCACGCAAACGTCGAGCACAGCCGCCTCACAAGCATCCCCCAGGTAAATAAATACCATCAAACAACCTTTAACTAAAAATCAGTTTATTTTTCTCTTTATAATGTTAGTATAAATGAAAAATAAATAGTTGTAAAAGCTTTTCAAAATTAGTTGGCGCCCTATTTGTGATTTTTTTCGAACCAACTATTAACCTCAGTTCATAACCCTAGTAGTCAATTGAAAGTTTAAGATGCTATTCATACCGAATACTATTTATACCTAACATTACAATTAAGTTATTTCTAGTATCGTAAATCTTGACTTTGCTATGTAAAACCTCAATAATTTAGATTTTACTAATAAATAATAAGGGACCTAATATGATTCCCTCAGGTGATATGTTGGAACTCAGCGACGGTGGCCGCCGATACGTCGTTGCATACACCATTAAGCCTTCGCCAGATCTGAAGACTCCTGATCCTCAGCCTGACATTTTGAATGCACCAGGTAAAGTTATGATTATAATAAAGTTAATTAACATTAAATTATAACACCACCAGTATGACACAAAACATTTTCAATATGTTCAAAAATAAACTTAATAATTTATTTTTAATAGATGGTGAAATTCAACCTTCACAACCTCCGATTGAAGAAGCAGATGAGTGGCCTAGCATAAAAGATGTTAAAGGTATTATTCACATTAAATAAAATAAAATTAATAATAATTCTGATGGAATTCTAACATTGTGATCGTTTACTTTGTTAAGGTGACTGGGGTAAAACTGGGGCTGTATTTTCAGCGGAAGATTTAGCTTTGTTGGACTCGACTGGGCGACCACAGCAACAAGTATGTTATATTTTTTTGAACATGAAGAACGATATAATAATAATAATTAGTTCGAAGTGTGCGTAATATGAATTATTGCTTCTCCTTGACAGCTCACTCCAGGCAGTGATATGGCGCCAAGCAATAGACAAGAGGATGTCCTTAATCAGAATCTACCATTAGGGAATAATTTTAGGCCTAACTTCGTAGTTACTAATAGCCCAACACTGGGGAGTCCAAATTTCGTCTGTCCAAACGGCAATATAGGATCTCCTTTTGGTAGTCAAACGTTAACTATGAGCGGACCTACTTTAAGTTCTGGAAGTATTGCAACTTCTACATTACATAGAGCCAAAGGTAAAGGTACAAGAAGAAGAGAGCACGTCTTAGCAGAGAATCTTCCGGGCCCAGAGAGCTGCGTCTGAAAAATATATAATATTTTTTTAGCTAACTGCTACCGCATAAGACTAAACTACCTTTGGCTACGTTTTTCTAACTTCAATTTTCACAAAGTTCCTTTAATTCAATTATGTCTGTTCTAAACGAAATATTGGAAGAACGAAAATTATATATAAATTTATTTCATATATTTGTTAGAAACAAGTCCTTTTCATGAAATCTTTAAACAAAATTTAATAAGTCTCATTTTTGCTCAAAAGACTGTTTACACTTATATTGATAAAATTTAAAAATTAATTGTCGAGGTTTTGTATTAGGGTTGTAAGTTATTGTTTACAATAAAAGGCTCAGAAATTTATTCCATAACTTCTCGGGTATTTAGTTTATAGAAATGTGAATTTGTGTTACTAATTCGGTTGTGTGAATGTAAATAAAAATAGATTAAAAAAAACCAAAGATGTATAGTTATTGTAAAGTATGGCTTTCGTTGTAAATTTGTTTAGGTGGAAATATTATATATAGTATGTACATATATATTTGATAACAAATTGTTATAGGAAACAATTTTGGAAGCACGATGATAGTAGAAATACGGGTGCCTCGTTTGAGATACAACTTTTTGCAAATATTTAATAGGTTTATTAATTTCATTTAATTAAGTGATATGTGCGAGATATATCTTCTAATTTTACAATTTATGTAATTTGATACTTTAATGAAGTAAAAAGTTGGCAAGTACAACCACACTTATAATTGTAATTACTTAAATCTGAGTGCACTATCCATTCAATCTTGTGATATTAAACATCCCAGTTAAAAATTTAAACTATTCGAGGGTATATAATAAAAATAATCACGTAGTTTTTTTTTTCCATTGAATATATTCTACAAAAGCTTCTGAGATCATTTAAATGTTTAGTTTATTATACATATGTGTTTGTCATTACTGTATTGGTGTACAATAAAGTATATTTCACGTATTCATTGAAAGTTGTTAATTAATAATATTATAAAAGGGAGGATATGTTACTCATTATTCCTATCTAAAAACAGGTTAATATTATTGTAGGAATATTTATTATTGCCGGGTTCTTTTTTAAATATGCAATTCCGTACAAATGAAAAAAAAAACTAAACGAAATTCTGAGTTTTGTCGAACTGTACCTAATACAGACTTGTCACGTTGCAGTGAAATGGAAAAGTAAGAAACATTCAATGGTTTTTAATGTTCTCCTTGTAAATGTAATATAAATTAATATACCTTGAGGTGAATTCATACAAAAAAACGCTTAATTTGCCTTCAAAGAAACCTGGGACTGGTAACTATTTTTAGCATTTTTCTTTGATTATATATATATATATAGCATTGTGAATGCATAATTGGTCATGAATAACGTTGTCTTAGTTTAATAAAAAGTGACATGTATGTCTTTTGAGAATAAATTCTATAAATTAAAAATATAAAACACTGTTATGTTGTCATGTAATAAATTATAATGTTTTAAGAAAACTATAAAAAATAATAACTTAAATATGTTCTTTATTTGTAAGCGATTTCAAAATTAGAAAGGAGTCTTCTTAGAACTATAATCATTTTCTTTTCGATAATTTTAGCAACAAAAACAATCTGTTTCGGTGTATTTTTATTGTCAAAATATTTTTACGACGAGTTGAGAAGCAATTATTTTAAAATGTGATTATCTTTATGTGTGTAATATTTGTCAACATGGTTGGTAAATTTAAAATAATAGTATCGTGCTTTTAAAATTGTTAGTCTATATGTAGTGCCATTTTGTATTGATATTGAAAGAACTGTAAATGTTTCGATTTGTGTTGATTCTATAATAATAAAGTTTAATAAACTATGGATTACTTATAGATAATATCAACCGAACTGTTGTAGTTGTCAATAATTCTCCGTGGTCCTAACGATCTGATATCGTAACAATTTTATATAAAAATAAATAAAAAAGTGGTTTATATTGAAAATGTCTTTTGCTTCTCCCTTTTTCCTGTATTATACAATTTAAGCATCAACGGAACTGAATTAAAAAAAAACATATGAAATCCCATAAAAATTGAGTCGCATTATATTTTTAAATTCTCATAAATAGCTATAAACAACATATTCTCGGTTGAAAAATATATTTTTCTACATAGTTGATAGCGAGTTAACTTTAACGCCTATTATCTAAGCCATTTCTTATTGATTTTGAAGCAAAAAAAAAATACGTATCTAATATATTTATGTTATCTGACTGATCTCTATTTTGTTTGTGTTATTATTTTTGATACCCAATGTCGTCTCTTTATTCTTGTAATAAAAACGCATGATCTCTAGGGAACTGTTTAGCGGGATAAAAGTTCATAAAATCATTTACTCCTGTAAAAAATAATAATATATCTCTCATATTCGTAGGTCCTTATTAACCCCAAATGGTGCTTGCAGGTAACCAATAAGCAAAATCTATGGGTGGTAAATAATTTAAAAAAATCACGTCTCTTTCAAAAAAATAGCGTACATCTAACCATCATACTGGTAATAGCCCAATAATCTCTTCGTTATTCAGCCTTTATTAGCCTGATACAAATACCAACTTTCAGTATGGAGATCAAACATTAAAACAACAGCTGGTTATTTTTATTATGAGGGTATCATATATTTCCTTTTTAATATATGAATCAATCCAATTTTCTTTCGGATTACTAATAAAAAAAATAAAAATCCTTTAATTTCTCAATGGAATGATAGGCAAAATACATATAAAGTGAGTTCTACGTATTTTTGCGCTGTTCCTTATGTTACTTCAATGAAATACATAAATTTTCCTAATATTATATTTGGAAATTCATATTTTTATAAAAACATCAATAATATTAAGAATGAAATACGACTTCAATCGATATTACTATATTGCGTTAAGTATATTTTGTTTTGATCCATTGAAAATTTCCATGCGGATATTGCTTACCTAATAGCCTTATAATTATTAATGAAGCAAAAATATTACACGCAATATATGCAGCAGCCTTTTGAGTTAAACAGTGCTAAAAATCATTAAAATCCAGTCAGAAATACTTCAAATGAAGTTTGATCATATTAAACTACTACTACTACAAAAAAAGTAAAGTTCAATAAAAATCACTATATCCTGTAAATTTTTTAGTTGGATTTCAGTAATTTTCATTGTCGCTGTGATAAATAAAACTCAAATTTGTGAAAAAAGTTGTGAGTAAATTTGCGTGAAGGAAATGAAGGTTTTTTGACTTGATGTTTTTTTATACCTTCCGTAGCTAAAATGATATGGATTCTTAAAAAGAGTCTCTTGTAATTGGCTCAGAAACTTGATTAAAAATATTCCAGGCTTGTATCGAATTATTTCCGTTTTTCTCATATGAGAATAATAGTCATCAATTTTAAATATCGAACGGCTAAACTCAATTTCTTTCTTGAAAAAAAAAAATTATTCAGCTTTCCAAAAATGAAACATCTTTCTCGAAATTGATCCGCAACCATCAACTTCTGCTGACGAAAGCTTTATCCCATCAGATTTTGTACATGACCAACAAATATCACAATTTAAAACTATTAACATACCCAAAAAACACATGCCCTTTAAGTTTGAAAAATGTTCTCATTTCACTATAAATTTTAACTAATAAAATGTTTTATTTTTGTGTCGGTTTTTTTCTACTTATCTCACAATTGAGATGTAAAGCAGAGTAGTGAGCTCGGATGTAAGCATCAATTGCACCCTCGAACTATTAATCTATAGTGAAAAGGAAAATGACCAATTTAATAGTAAACAATGCTTACTGTGGTAAAATTTTTACAAACCTATACAAACTTCCACTCCCATTTCTATCCCTTTATTTGCAGTTTTACGGGATAAAATATAGCCTATGTCCACCGCATATGACGTAACTTCCCGAAGGTGTACGAACTATTTAATTCGTTGCATACAAACATTCAAAACTTTTCTCTTTATAATACGAGGGTCAAACTGAAAGTTCTTAGAACTGGCCACTTATAAACAATATAATAAAAAAATAATTCTAAAATTTGAAAATATAACTCTTTGCCAATATTACTGAGTATATTTTTCATTCATTTGTCATTTGTTTTACGATTTGGCGGCAAATTGAAAATTGTCTGTGTCACGTCATCATGAATTTAACACGAGAAAATTTTCGTGCAATGATTTTTTATGACTTTCGATGTCATTTAAGTCAACAAGAAAGTTATGATAGACTACGATTGGCCTTTCACGATGAAGCCCCATCTCGTGCGACTGTTTACAACTGGTTTAATGAGTTTAAACGTGGTCGCACTAATCTCACTGATGATTTACGTGAGGGACGGCCTTCTACGGCGACGACTGAAGATAACATCTGTGTTGTGCGGCGTATGATAGAGACTGACAAAAGAGTGACCTATCAACAGATTCGGACAAGCTTAGGCATCGGTATGAGTCAAGTGCACAAAATCCTCCACGAACATTTAGCGGTCAGGAAGCTTTGCGCCCGGTGGATACCTCATAATTTGACTGAGGCTCAAAAACTCCATCGTGTGGATTGGTGTCGTAAAATGATTGAAAGATTTAACGGAGGTGACTCAAATGCTGTGTTCGACATACTAACAGGTGACGAAAGCTGGATTTACTGTTATGATCCTAAAACCAAAAGACAATCTGCTCAGTGGGTGTTTCCTTTCGAGGAGTTGCCAACTAAAGTGAAGAGAGATCGAAGTGCGGGAAAAAAAATGGTGGCCTCGTTCTTTGGAAGGATAGGTCATTTTGCAACAATTGTGTTAGAGGATCAAAAAACAGTTTCTGCAGAATGGTACACTACCAATTGTTTGCCACTTGTCTTGGAAAAAGTTCGAGAGAAACGACCTCGCAGTAGGATCCTCCTTCACCACGACAACGCCTCGTCGCACACCGCCAAGCGAACGATCGACTATTTGGCGACATCAAACGTTGAATTATTGGGTCACCCGCCGTATAGCCCCGACCTCGCACCTTGTGATTTTTATTTATTTCCAAAAATTAAAGAAAAACTTAAAGGAAAGCGGTTTATGAATGCTGAAGAAGCGGTGGCTGCGTATCGCGATGCCATTGAAGAGACCCCTAAGGACGAGTGGGCAAAGTGCTTTTCCCAGTGGTTCCATCGCATGCAGCGGTGTATTGACGTGAATGGACAATATTTTGAAAAGATATAATAAAACTAATAACTGGCTAATGTATTCAGTTTTTGATTTTCTAAGAACTTTCAGTTTGACCCTCGTATTATATTGTAGAAGTATTTAAACTAATATTATAAAGGAAAGAATTGATTGCTTGTTTTTTGCAACGAATAGGCTCCGAAACTACTGAACTGATTTTATAAATTCTTTTACCTACGGGTAGCTACATCATACGGAGTTGAC